TAGTATAATACTGCAATTCTAGATAAAATCGTAAAATTCGTAACTTGTTCTCGTAAGACTCGTAAGAATTTATGAGTAGATCTGCAAATTCTATACAGACCATATGTTATATAATAATTCGTAAATCGTTAATCTTACATCGATTAATTCCAACAAAAATTAAAAAAAAACTCTTCTTGAGTATAATCAATATTAAATGTAAAGGACAATAACAGTTAAAGCATCAGAATGCGCATTCGGAGAAGAAAGCATAAGAATGCGCATTCGGAGGTACACGTTTATTAGCTTAACATCTCCCCGGAACTCTACTATCTATTATTGAGATAATTAATATAATAATTCATTTTTAAAATTTAAGTTAACCTCTACAGATACAACTTATTTATACCTATTTATTTATATGTATATAAAATCGTAATATTAAATTGGCACACACATGCATGTATGTTAAATCGACAATTCTTTGACTTTTGCGATGTATTTGCATTCGCTTCTTACATTCATAGGACCCGCAAGTGCTTCAAACGACTTCTATTGGAACAAATCTTACATTCAGTGGGTGGTTAGGTCGAAGTATTAAATCACCAATTATCTCCATGTCTTTTAAATAATCGATAGGTTCTACGTAGAAATTGCGCACAAGGGTAGCTATCATGGCTTTCATTTCCAACATAGCGAATCTTTGACCTGTCATGCATAATTTTTTTATTAAAAACTGTTGACATATATAGAGATGTGAACATTACGCTGACTTACCAATACAATTCCGTGGTCCTGCGCTGAACGGCAAGTACGAGTAAGGATGACGACTATGTATTTTTTCAGGTAAAAATCTGTCTGGATCGAATACACTGGGATTTGGCCAGAAATTGGAATCTCTATGAACGTCGTAGATATTGAGATGTATAATTGTTCCGGCGGGTGCTATATATGAATCTGTAAAGTATATTACATAATTAGCTGTACTTTATAAACGATAATTTGAAAATATTATGTAAATTTTTATGTATAAAAAAATGCATCATATTATTCATGGATATAATTCCGATGTTGTATTAATTTTGAAAAGTTAAATCTGAAATATGTTTGCATATTTATAAAGATTTATCGCTGTTACTGCTTAATTGCACATCTTCCGCAGTGACTCGCGATATATAATGTATGCTGGGGTAGAGCCGCAAGGTTTCTTTCAAACATCTTTCTAAGTACGATAGATTCTGCAAGGACCTCATAGTCAATTTCTCCTCAGACTGTTCCATCACTGTGGTGACCTCCTCCCTGACACGATCCTATATCACCAATTTTAATTAAAATTGCATGCCTCATTACTTTGTGATATTTTTATGTACACGCAAAGAAACAATTTCTGCAAATGTCTACCTGTATATTTATATTTAATTTATTATTTTATTATAAGGTTGTTACTTTTTAATTTCGTCCAATTAATTAATTTCAATTTATATTGGGTTGGCCAATAAGTTCGTGCGGTTTTTTACTTATAAATCATCGACGATTATTTTTATAGAAGGTAATAACTATAATCGAATATGTATTGGCCTTTCTTATTTACTATCTTTTGCCATCTTTCGGGCAGCTTCATAATTCCTCGTTCAAAGAACTTCCTGTCTTTCTCTGCAAAAAACTGCTCCAAGTGTCGTTTCACAGCTCCCTCAGAAACGAAGTGCTTTCCACTCAAGGAATTCTGAAGGGAGTGAAACAGATGGTGCAATCTGAAGGTGCAATGTCTGGAGAATACGGAGGATGTGGTAAGACATCCCAGTCTAACGCCCATAATTTTTGCCGGGTTTGTAAAAATGTGAGCGGCCTAGCGTTGTCATGGAGAAAGACGACGCCTTTACGATTCATCAATTCCGGACGCTTTTCGTGGATCGCTGCATACAATTTATCCAGCTGACTACAGTACACATCTGAATTGATTGTTCCGTCTTGATCTTCGGAAGTCGCTCGTAGAACACAATACCTTTCCAAACCCATCAAATTAAGAGCATGATCTTGCTCGGGTGAAGCTCTGCCTTCGAAGTGATTTGTGGCGGTTCGCTGCGCTGCCCCCACGATCCTTTGCACTTGATGTTATTGTAGAAGATCCATTTTTCATCACTAGTGACCATATGCTTCAGAAATGGATCGCTTCTATCACGTTTTCCGAGTAAATCGCTGATAGAAATGCGTTGGATTAAATGAGCTTCGCTCAGTTCGTGCGGAACCCAAACATTGAGACGACTAACATAACCAAGTTAACGCAGGTAGTTTTCCACGCTATTTCGATATTTGGAGAACATCTGCAAACTCCCGCATCGTGTAGTGCGGATTGGTGTCTTCAATTTGTCGCTGTCGATCTCATTTTGTCGGCCTAAGCGTGGGTTGTTCTAGACAGAAATATTTCCGCAACGAAATATCGCAAATCATTTAGGCACACGTGTTTTTCACAGCATCCTCATATATTGCACAAGTCTTTTTAAAAATTTGGGCTGCGTTTTTGCCTTTTTTAAAGTAAAAAAGCATAATATGCCGAAAATGCTCATTCTGGTTATCCATTTACAGATGACGTATATCACACAAAATACACAAAATACGCAATTTTACGTATATTTTTTAAATGCACGTTGAAATGTCATCTGTAAATAACTATACGCTTTCAAGTCTTTTGACTAAAGATAAAGTTTTGCAGAGCGCTTTGAAACCATTTATCGAGAAAAACTGCACGGACTTATTGGCCAATCAAATACACGAAAAAATATATTGCGACTAGTAATCTCGTAGAATGCTTCTACCATTTTAATAGAAGTTAATTAACGACTTAATGATTGAACAGGATTAATCAGTTGCTTCTTTGAATTTATATATCGCTTGTCTCTATTGAAAAGTACCTGAACATCCTTGTGCTCAGCTAACAGTAACAAAGTGAAAC